CGAACCAGCCCGGGCACTATAGTCATCGGAGGAGGCCCTGTTCTCAGTCCCACCCCCATCCCAAGCACGGCTGGTGCTTGCCTTCTCCATGGTCGCCCCTCACATCTGGAACTCCCTCCCTAAAGAAATAAAGTTGCCCCCCTCCCTCCTCTCCTTCAAAAAACAACTGAAGACCTCCTGTTGCTCACTAGCATAAGGAGAGGAGGAGGATTAGATGATCGAGAGATCACTGCCGGGTCTCTGGTTGAGAACTATTTCTATTTGGCCTTTCCTGGTCTACGCCAGCCCAATGATCTCATTTTACTACAGAACCAACCCACACCAGTTTTGAACCCTTGCTGGCTGTTGTAAACTAATGTGGATATTTTGTTTAGATTTATGTTATTGTAGAATTTTGCCCGACTACATGAAGTTTAATCTATTATTTTATTTATTATTTATTTACCGCATTTCTACCCTGCCTTTCTCTACCTGGAGGGGAATCAAGTAGGAAAAAACTCAAATCCTGGCTTTGGGATCAAGCGTTTGTGCAGTAAATGGATCAACTGGGAAAATAATGTTTTAGTGGGTCGCAATGGACTGATTTGAATTATGTTTTGAACTGGCAAACTGTTTTTAATTGAATGCTTATAATTGTAACTGTGTGTTTTAATGTATTGTTTTTTGGCATCTAATGACTGCCTGATGTAAGCCGTCCTGAGTCCCTCTTTGTAGGTGAGAAGGACAGGATAGAAATGCCCGAAATAATAATAATAATAATAATAATAATAATAATAATCCAGTACAACAACCGGCAGAGTGATCTTGTCTGCTGTGCACTCATCTTGTGTTTCAAATAATAATAATAATAATAATAATAATAATAATAATACTGTCTGCCGTATTATTATTATTATTATTATTATTATTATTATTATTATTACAAGCCAGACATCACGATTATGGAAAATAAAAAAGTCTGGATTATTGATGTTGCCATACCAGGTGACAGTCACATTGAGGAAAAACAACAGGAAAAACTCAGCCTCTATCAAGACCTCAAAATCGAACTGCAAATGCTCTGGCATAAACCAGTACAGGTGGTCCCAGTGGTCATCGGCACTGGGTGCCGTGCCAAAAGATCTCAGCTAGCATTTGGAAACAATAAACATTGACAAAATCATGATCTGTCAACTGCAAAAGGGGAGGGAGGAAAGATCGCATCATTCGAAAATACATCACACAGTCCTAGACGCTTGGGAAGGGTTCAACTTGTGGATTTTGTGATACGAAATACAGCATATAGATCTTGTTTGCTGTGACATACTGTGCTTTTGTGTCAATAATAATAATAATAATAATAGGCAACCATACAAAGCCATAGGATATGTACAATTCCAAATATATAAAGAGTTATAAAATATGTTTAAACAGTTCAAAATAATATAAAACATTACATTATTGATGTTAGGTTTAATTTACTGATGTTAGGCTTTAATTAGTTTCATATGTGGGGGTTTTTCTGGGAGTTTATGTCAGTATTATGTGTTTTATGTAGCCATTGTATGCATGCTATTGTTATGTTGGAATCCACCCTGAGTCCCCTCAGGGAGATAGGGCGGAATACAAATAAAGTTTATTATTATTATCATCATCATCATCATCATTATTATTTGAAACACAAGAAGATGAGTTCACAGCAGACACTCTGCTAGCTGTTGTATTGGCTCACACGTCGGACACTTCCCAAGTTGTTGTTGTTGTTGTTGTTAGAAACACAACAAGATTAGTACACAGCAAACAAGATCACTATACTGGCTCTTGTATTGGATCACACGTCAGACACTTCCCAAGTGTCTAGGACTGTGTGATGTATTAGCGAATAATGTGTGCATATCCCAGTAGGGTGGCCTTTTGCAGCTGACAGATGGTAATTTTGTCAGCACCAATTGTGTTCAAGTGCAGACCAAGGTCTTTAGGCTGGCACCCAATGTGCTGATCACCACTGGGATCACTTTTACTGACTTGTGCCAGAGTATTGTCGAAGGGTTTCATGGCCGGAATCACTGGGTTGTTGTAGGTTTTCCGGGCTATATGGCCATGTTCTAGAGGCATTTTCTCCTGACGTTTCGCCTGCATCTATGGCAAGCATCCTCAGAGTCTCACTACCTCTGAGGATGCTTGCCATAGATGCAGGCGAAACGTCAGGAGAAAATGCCTCTAGAACATTGCCATATAGCCCGGAAAAACCTACAACAACCCTTGTGCCAGAGTCTTTGCAGTTTGATCTTTAAATTTTCATATTGCATCAGCTTTTCTAATTTTTTCTCTTGAATCCTTCTGTCACCTGGGATGATGATGATGATATATTATTATTATTATTATTATTATTATTATTATTATTATTGGAGCCCCCGGTGGCACAGTGGGTTAAACCCCTGTGTCGGCAGGACTGAAGACCGACAGGTCGCAGGTTCGAATCCGGGGAGAGGCTGATGAGCTCCCTCTATCAGCTCCAGCTCCTCATGCGGGGACATGAGAGAAGCCTCCCACAAGGATGATAAAAACATCAAATCATCCAGGCATCCCCTGGGCAACGTCCTTGCAGACAGCCAATTCTCTCACAACAGGAGTCACTCCTGACACGACAATATATATTATTATTATTATTATTATTATTATTATTATTATTATTATGTCTAGGAGCTACAATGGTTACATGTGGATTATGTCCAAGTATGACTGTCCGTTTGTACCACAAAGGCTAGATGAAGTGTCCCTCTGTGATGTCACTGGATTGGCTCTTACTAGGTAGAGTGACCAGCTGTGATGTCAATGGGGAAAGAAGGTGGAATGTGTATAAGGGGAAGGAAAGAAGGAAAGTCACAAAGGGACACATTGTGAAGCAGGCCCTCTCAGAGCTGGAGAAAGAGGAAATGGAAAGGGATGGAAAGAAAGTTTTAAAAAAGGACAGAAAAAATGGAGAAGGGAGGGAATGGAAAGGTAGAAAAAGGAAAAGAGGGAAAGAAAAGAAAGGAGGGGAGGTAAAGAGAAAGAAGGAATGAAAGCAGGGAAATGGTTCCAAGTATACCTGGGCAAAGCCTCTGATGAAGAAGATCCCTCTTCATGCCTTATGACCAAAACCCGGAGGGACAACCTAAAAGAATCTCTGAGATCTTATTTTTGGGACTCCCATTTTTGTGTTTCACTTCAGTTACTTCAGCCCTGACGTGTCATCAGTTCACTAACTATACGCAGGCTGGTCTCCCTGGCTATACTGGTGTTTTTAGTGCTTTAAATTCCGACCCATCTAATAGAACTGCCATCAAGTGTCTCAGTAGCCACAACGCTTGCGTTTCTATACGACTGGAACTGAGTACAGGTAAGTTCAACCTAAATATTATCAGACCAAATTAGTTTATCGGGATTTGGACCCAATAAGGGTGCTAAGGTTCTAAAAGTCAGGTTGGTGTTTGCAAGGAAATATGAGGTGGGGAAATTTAAAGCACTATATGGGGGATTCAATAGGGGGATTGTATATGATTTGCAGCTATTCAGATACCCAGTGGAATTGCCTGAGCATTTATTTATTTATTTATTGTATCAGAAGCAAGTAGTTGAGGATACAGTTAAAATGCATTTAAAAACAAAAAAACTTGGCATTTTGCTAAGTGTCCTTTGACCAGAAGTTGACCACTTGGAGTGCCTCTGGTGTCACTGTGGGAAGGTACTTCATTGTGCATGTGGCAGGGCTCAGGTTGCATTGTAGTAGGTGGTCTGTGGTTTGCTCTTCTCCACACTCACATGTCGTGGACTCTTTGTAGCCCCATTTCTTAAAGTTAGCTCTGCATCTGCCGGGAGTCTCTCATCTGGTCTCAGCCAATGATTGAGGTGTTGGGTTTTAGCCTGCCACTTTTGGACTCTTGCCTGCTGAGGTGTTCCTGCCTGAGGCTGGAGACCACAAGCAATCCCAAGACTCAGTTGCCGCCGCCCCCCGAAACAATGCCGTCCCTTCTCCCTCTGTACAAGGACTCTCCATTTATCTATGAGTCATGTCAAAATCCATAATTTTGGGCAACAAACCAGTCCCCAACTTTAACATGAGGTCAGCTAACAACTGTATGTGTACAGTAGACAAATAACATAATTAAGCACATGCAGTCCCCAAGAAATGAACAAGATAGGTTCTGTAGGTTTGTTCCTAAGTTGAATTTGTATGTTAGTCAGAACAGGTATATCTTTTAAGTAGAACTCCAGCCATATACACAAAAGTTATCCAGAAAGTAAGGTCACAAGATTTTTTTAAAAATGCAAACAATGACTATATTTTAATAAAACGTACATGGATTGTAGCATAAATATTACAGTATTTTTCCGCATAAACACCATTCAGTTCAATACATTTTGTCATCCGTGGAATGAGTTTTTGATGTCATAGAAGTTTCCCTCTGCCTTTTTCAGCCAGTTTGTCACTTCGATTTTCACCTCATCCTCATTAGAAAAGTATTTTCCACCCCGGTGTTCCTTCCATTTAGTCGAGAGATGATAGTTACTGGGTGCGAGATTAGAGCTGTGAGAGGTGTGGCTTAAAACATCCCAACCAAATGAAGTCAACAACTCTTGTGTTGCATGAGTGGTGTGCAGACATGCATTGTCATGAAGGAGACAGACTCCCACAGTCACCATCCCATAACGTTTGCTTTGGATGGCTCTGCGAAGTTTATTCATGGTCTCATAATGTATTCCATACCCATTTTGTGACATGTTGTCTTGATATTACGTCCTCTCCATAAACTCAAATGTTTTCATGATGAATTGCAGCGGTGTTCATGCCCTTAGCATTTAGGTAGCATATTACAGTGCAAATTTCACACTTGGAGGGAAACGGAATGACGATGCTCATCTCTAACCTTCACCACGATGCCAGTTGATGAGCTACTGACGACTGACACTGCTCGTTCACTTTCACTGGTTTCCCGCTAAATGGCAGTGGTACCAACTTCCCTCAAGAAAATTCCCCGTGAGAGCTATGTGCCTTGTAACCTTACTTTTGGATAACCCTCGTATATATATATATAAGCTTTGGGTAACACAGGGAAGGGTCAACACCCTTGTGGTGTTTGTTTTGCTATCTGTGCCCCTGTTCAGACAATTTCACCTCACTTTCTATCCCTGTGACGAGGACTAAAGTTTCCTTTCTAGGGGTAGATTTCTCTCACTTCCTCTAGTCTCACCCCCATTCTTATATTTAGTGGTACAATGGGTTAAAGCACTGAGCTGCTGAACTTGTTGACCGAAAGGTTGCAGGTTTGAATGCGGGGAGCAGCATGCTGTCAGCCCCAGCTTCTGCCAACCTAGCATAATATGGAAATGTGATTAGATCCATAGGTACCATTCCGGCGGGAAGGTAGCAGCATTCCATGCAGTCATGCTGGCCACATGACCTTGGAGGTGTCTATGGACAACGCCGGCTCTTTAGCTTAGAAATTGAGATGAGTACCAACCCCCAAAGTCAGACATGATTGGACTTAATATCAGGGGAAAACCTTTACCTTTATCTTTACCTTGCAAGTTGGATGTTTGTAACCCAGGGACTTTCTTAACTAAGACGTGCCTTCTATCCTGTTCCACCTTAACAGCCACTGGCTGGTCCGCACAGTGATTATTTTTTTTCTGTTGTCTGGGATATTTCTATCCTACCACCAGCAAAATCTTTGGAGTGACAATCAGAAACAGGATTCATCTTGCACTTTCTCCTTGCACCAGAAGTATGGGAACAGTTTACTGTTCCCTGATTGACAGGCGAACAGACCTTCACTAGTCAATTGTTATGGGCAGCATTAGCAATCATGTCAATGATGACACGATCGCAAATATGGGTGCATCTGCACTGCAGAATTAATTCAGTAGAGGTATTTACTAAATTGAACTTAAGTTGGAATAAATTCAGGCCCATTTATTTTATATTTAGGAACAGTGAGAATATTAATCTGAATCTTATAGTTCAGTACTGGGGAAAATACCTCTCAATGGGGACATTTCCACATTTTGAAGCCTATCCTAGCCCATATTAGGGTGCATATTAGGCAGATGCACCCATAACCTTTACTCAGGCCATTGCTGATTGATTAACCTGGAAAGTGTGGTCTGTGATTGTGCATCTAGCCTTCGAAATTTCTAAAATACAGAAAGTTTAAGAATATCCAGAAATGAATGGATTCACAACTTCATAATAAAGGTCAACCCAACTCAATTTGCCAAACGAAAACCTTGGCATCTCACTGACACATCCTGTCTATATCTTCCTTCTTCAGTCAGCCATACTCTGTTTATGGACCATCGGGATTGCGCAACCACCCAATACCCAAATGGAGGAAAAGAATTATCCAAGAAAGGTGACAAATACTTTGCAATCAAGTACAAGGCAACTTACTGCTCCAGCGACCTGTGCAATGGAGAAATGCCTTCTGTACATCCTCACAACGAGACTACTTTGGTCAAAGGTAAAAGAAGAAGTGGCAAGAGCTTCATGGCGTGAGAGCTGCATGCATGGCAAGAAAAGATTCAGCAGTTACTTATCTCCATGACATATATCCATTTCTCATGGGATAGAATCATATTGATCTCCTACCTTCTTCCTTTTTTCACTCTGTTCTTCATTCATTCAGTCCTTCTTCCTTTCACTAGAAAGATGGAAGTTGTGACAGAGACATTTTAAGTCTACAGTCATATATGGGGGTTGAATGAAATGTAATGCCTCCATCTTCGTAACTCCTCAACAAATGGCAGTACTGATATGCGGCAGGTACTGGCTTGTTCACTAGACTCTGCTCTACAGTTCCATTTTGGCAGGAATCCTTAGCATTGAACGGTTATGGTGTTAAAGTGTGAAGTATGGAACCCTGCACAGATGGTCGATCAATGCGAATTAAGCAACGTGCAGTCATTGAATTCTTGACAGCAGAAGGTGTCACTCCAAAGGGATGATTGTGTTGATGTAGGTACTGTATGTCTTTGGGCGAGTAAGTTTAAAGATGCTGTGGTGACACCTTCTGCTGTTAAGAATTCAGTGACTGCACGTTGCTTAAGTCGCATTGACTGACCGTCTGCACAGAGTTCCATACTTCGCACTTTAACAACACAACTGTTCAATGCTAAGGCTTCCCGCCAAAATGGAACTGTAGAGGAGAGTCTCCTGAACAAGCCAGTACCTGCCGCATACCAGTACTGCCATCTGTTGAGGAGCTACGAAGGTGGAGGCATTGCTTTTTATTCAACCCTCATATATATATACACACACACACACACACACACATTCTCTTTACAGCTTCCCAATTGCAAATTAACAAGCAATGGAAACTCATATAGAATCATAGATTTGGAAGAGACTTTGTGGGTCATCCAATCCAACCCCACAGTATGATTCCAGGGTGGTCTGACTAAGGAGGAAGAGAAGGGTAGCATGACTTCCCTAGATCTAGACACTAGACTCCTATTTATGCAAGCCAAAATCCCATTGGCATTTTTAGCTGCCACATGACATTGTTGGCTCATGTTTAACTTGTTCCCCACGAGGACTCCAAGATCTTTTTCACACATATTGCTTTCAAGCCATACACCCCCCATTTTGCATCACTACACATTTGAGACCTTTTTTTTTTTTTTGGCTACAATTGAGTATGATTCCTTTGAAACAACATTTGAGTTTTAGCTATTTTAGCTATTCACAACTGGAGACTGGACACATGGATGATAAGTCTGGAGACACTGATAATGAACTGACATATAGATCTTGCAGGGCTCCCTGGTGGCGCAGTGGATTAAACCACTGAACTGCTGAACTTGCTGACCAAAAGGTTGGCGATTCATATCCGGGCAACGGAGTGAGCTCCCGCTGTTACCACAGCTTCTGCCAACCTAGCAGTTTGAAAACATACAAGTTTCAGTAGATCAATAAGTAACACTTCTGCAGGAAGGTAATGGTGCTCCATGCAGTCATGCTGGCCACTTGATCTTGGAAGTGTCTACGGACAATGCCGGCTCTTCAGCTTAAAAATGAAGATGATTATCACCCCTTAGAGTCAGAAACAACTAGACTTACTATCTGTCGTACTCCAGAGCAGGAACGCATCTGACTTGAAACACCACACCAGCTTGGTAAAATCAGCAAGCAGTTTATTGTAGGCAAAGCAGTAAAAATAATTAAACAGTAAAAGTCCAAAATCCAAGATAATCCATAAACTTTAAAGTAAATCAGATCCATTAGTACATAGAAATGCATGGAACAAGGCACTTGAAAAAATAGAACAAAACAGCAGGAATTCTCAGGCAAAAACTTAGACTTGGCTACAATTTGATACACGAAACATGAGCACTTGAAAACAAAACCAGCATGAGTTAAAAACATTGACTCGACTGAGACACTAGACTCCCATGAATCATTATAAACCCTTTCCAAAAGCTGAAACTTACAGGAAAGCGTTCTTTCTCACTTTCCCACTCGTTAACAATTTGTTATCTTTCTTTTGTTGTTAAAGAGCAGAACGCCTGAGATTCTGAAAGTTCAACCTCTGTTACTAAAACTTTGTCTTCTATCCAAGGTTTCACTATCATTCTCCTTCTGCACCTGGCAGAACAATATCATCATCATTTTCAGGCTACTGCTCTGAGAAAAGTGGTGAAAGGTCTTTCCCAGGAATGTGTCCTTGCTCAGGCTTCTCTTCTGAATTTAATTCCGACCCGGGCAAAGCCGTATCCTCAGGCCCATCATCAGGAACATTATCCCCATTCCTGTTATGCACATCAACATGAACATCATTCCCAACCTGAACATCAGACTGACAAACAACACTGTCAGGAGAAACCTTTACTATAGATCCTGCAACTGATTTGAATTTTAATTGTTAATTTATTTGGTGATTTGTTCCTATGATCCCCCCTCCTTTTCCCCCATAACTGTATTTAATCTGTTTATTCAAAAAGTAAATAAATAAATGTAAATAATGTATCAACATATAAGCAATGAGTAAGTAATCCTATAGGTTAAAGAGCCCCGCTCTAGTTGGGAATAAAATTAACAGGTTTCTCCCTTTCATTTTGATATAGAAAAATGTAAGCCAAGCAGTTCGAAGAAATGCTATGCTGGCATCAACTATCATGAATCTGAAACAGAACTAGAACCTGTGACATGCCGCAGCGACTCAGACTACTGTTACCAAGGATCTGGGCATATCAAAGCCGGTGGGTAAAGTAATCAAACCCGGAACTTAAAAACAAATCCTTCATTTCTTGAACCCTGCATTATAAATCTTCACTTATCCTGTTCCCGCATGCAAGCTCATATTATTTTAAAATGTTTTCTTTTTCTCCACTGAGTAGGACTGCAAAATACTTTGCATTTTATTATAGTTTCTTGTCCCATGTATCTTTTGTTTGGGGCATTAAAGAATAACTTTGTGCTGATGATGAAATAAAATCCAGAACTGTGGAAAATCTCAGCAACCATTGATCATGTTCTACACAGTAATGATACTGGAGGGATTGATTATGTTTACCTACTCAAGAATTATTGGTTTTATTGGTTTTTTGCTGGATGGAGTTTGGGATCATTGGTAATTCCGATTCTGTTGTCAAAGGCTTTCATGGCCAGAATCATTAGATTGCTGCATGTTTTCTGGGCTGTATGATTCCTTTTTGAATCATAGAAGCTTTGAGAAGAGTACTGGGATGGATCTCCTGTTATGAGGATTTGCAAGTTGGTGATATATCAATAGCTTTAGACCTAAACCTCCATGCGCTTTGGGGATGTTATCTCAGTTCTAGGAAATAATGCATTAGAAAGAGTGACTCCACCAAATCAATAACTCAACTTCCCCCTGCCCAACAATGAACACATTCCCCAGGCTGTATCTACACTGTCCAATTAATGCAGTTTGACAACACTTTAACTACTATGTTTCAAAACTGAGGAAACCTGGGAGTTGTAGATCTACAAGGCCTTTCGTTTTCTCTGCCAAAGAGTGCTGGTGCCTCACTAAACTAAAACCAAACAATGAATACATGTATAAAGGATCAAGGTTACGTCTCATGAATAAATCACGCCGCTGGTCATCAGTTTAAAGGATCATAGTTACTAGTACCCCAGCTAGACATCAATATAATAGAATATGATTCTTGGCATGGAGCGTTTATATGTGAATGAGGTAACATGTATGTACTTTGGTAGATTCACTGCCACCACCTAATTTATTTTAGGAAATTACAGATGATTCCCCTGAGGTAAACATCTTCCTGCCCACCAGCTCTCCCTTAGCTCCTTACGATGACTGTGATGTAAAGATGTTAAAACAGATAGAAATATTCTCACAGGAAGGAATCACTACTGAGGCGTCTTTAAAAGTTGAACTAGAGAAAATGTTTATTTATAATATTGAACAAACAACTATCTTCTTTAATGAGGCATACAAGACACAAGCTTGAATGGTTACTGAGGTACAATAATCTTTATGGTTACTTCAAACAGGTTCTTTGACTTAGATACGAGTAAAACTCCTCACTCTACAATAACGCAGTAGCAGTGAGTTCCCCAGACTAACCTAACCAGGTTGTCCCTAGAGCAATTAGCTACACTCTAAGCAGAGTCCTCTAAAAGCTAATCTACCCTAACCCCAGAGAGCGAACCACTTGTGTAAAAACCCACACAAACACCCAGGCAACTACTTTGACCCACCTGGCCAATAATGCAGCCTTGCCTGTCACAAATGCTCTCTGACAGAAAAAAAAACTAAGCTCAAAAATCTACCTCTCTTCTCTTCTGTTCCCAAAATCAATCCTTCTTCTTCAAACCCAAAAATCAATCTCCCTGCCCTCTGTCAAGCTGACACTTTTCCCTCTCAGGGATAAACTCCTCCCATCTGTCCTGACCAATCAAAAGAGAGCTTCAGCTCCTCCCCTCTTCTCCTGTTACACTCCCAAGATGTCTGCTTCCTTTGCTGACACTCCCAAAATGGAGTCCTGCCTACTGATATTCCAGGCTTCTCCTTCTGCCTATGAGGTAAGAATCATTACAACATGCATCGGGCTGCATCTACATTGTCCAATTAATCCAATTTGACCACACTTTAACTGCCATAGCTCAAAGTCTGGAATCCTGGCAGCTGTAAATCTACGAGACCCTTAGCTTTTTCTGCCAAAGGATGAAAGCTAAACTACAACTCCCAGGATTCCATTGCAGTGAGCCATGGCAGTTAAAGAAGTCTCAAACAACATTAGTTTTGATGTAGAGATATTGGAAATATAGATATGTATACATATATTGTATGTACATTACAAGCACTGAAATGTAGAAAAATTCAAGTTCTCTCTGTATTAGAAGGCCAAGCTGACAGGACAAAAGGGATGCTGAAGGATCGGTGTCCAAGGAACATTCCAGTGGGGGGAAGATTACATAGTCCTGGTACCAACAAATATAAGTAAAAAGTAAGGTGTTTATTTCCCTCCCTCCTGACAGGTCAAAAGTAGGCCACAGATGGATGTAAGCTGCTCTTTAGAAAAAAATATGAAGACATGCCCCTTGCATGTAGAAGATATAATTTGATATTTCTATGATGCTAAATTGACATAGTGATGACGTTAACATATGTAGAAGCATGTTTCTTTGTTTGCCTGCATTTGAAGATGTATAAAAAGGAAAGTCAACACCTTTATCCTCACTCTGGTTCGGTTTTGGATGAGATTCCACACCAGAGTCTCAGCTGAAAATAAATGTACTTTTCTGTCTTCCAGAAAGGATTGCTCTTGGTATTATCTCTCCTGTCTGCTGCTACAATTTGACAGTGTAGATATGCCCCTAGATTTGTTTCCAGCCATCCTTTTAATGCTGCACTGTATTGTGGAAGATCTGGTCATATATCTTACCGTCTCCTAAGAGGATTGTTTGTATTTCTTCTTCTATCTCCATTCTCTTTCCAACAAACAGCAAATACCGCTCTACATTTACGCGTCAGAAGCTGCCGAAGCATCTGTCGCATTCCTCAGCAACAAACTTTTGGACCAATAGAGATCTCTCTCAAAGGATCCTGCTGCTCTGGAAACCTCTGCAACAAGAAAGAAAATGCTGATCCAACCCCGACTGCTCAAGCGTGGGAAACTACCAGTGAATTATATGGACACGGCACTGTCAATCAAACCGGCAATTTCACCAACCTTGGCCATGGATATGGCCTCTTCCGAGACTTTGAATGTGAGGATTACATTGTCGATAATGGCACAGAGTGGTCCTTCATTGATCCTGGAGCACAAGGGGCAGTATCACCTTTCACTGATCATGGAGCACAAGGGCCACCTAACAGCAAAGGGTCCATCCTTCAGCTCAGACCTCTGCTGCTCACTCTTGTGGTTACAGTCCTTGCACTATCTTGGTGAGATGCCTTGGCTTCCAAGATCTCTGATCTGATTTTGGAAGAGGTATATTGTAGAAGGGAAGGAAAAGATGGGTCAACCTGAGATAGATAAATTTCTGGCCTTCTGTAGTCCTCTCCTAACTATCAACCAATTGTTAACACAGCCTGGCCATATAGGCCCCTTCTACGCTGCCATATAAAATCCAGATTATCAACTGTGAACTGGATTATATGGCAGTGTAGACTCATAATCTAATTCAATGCAGATTATGAGGATTATCTTCTTTGATAATCTGGATTATATGGCAGTGTAGAAGGGGCCATAATCCAACTAGTTGTTGACATATACTGCTATATAATCTCTTCACTATTTCTCCTACTGCAAAGGGAGATGTTGCAATGCTTTCCTCCATTTTTTTAAAGAGAATAACCTGATGATCTCCCCAGTCCACATTAACTGGGATATAGAAACAGTCCTTTTCTCCTACCCTACAATGTCTCTTTCTATAACAGGTGGGTGAAATAAGTCATCTTTAGGGAAATTAATGATGCAGTCAGTAATTCTATTTCTTGGGAGCTTTAGAGTGCATCTACACCAGTGGTTCTCAGCCTGCAGGTCCCCAGATGTTTTGGCCTTCAACTCCCAGAAATCCTAACAGCCAGTAGGCCAAAACACCTGGGGACCCACAGGTTGAGAACCACTCATCTACACTTTTGAATTAATGCAGTTTGACAACACTTTAGTTGCCATGGATCAATGCTATGGAAGCATTGGATTCCTAATTTGTAACTGGCGAGGCACCAGTTCTCTGTGACAGAGAAGACTCAAGCAATTGTAAAACTATAACATCTGGGATTCTATAGGATTGAGCTATGGCAGTTATAATGGTGTAAAACTGCATTAACGTCACAGTGTAGATGCACCCCAGTCTTAGTAAATGTGAAGGATTCCCCTTGATATTAGGTCTAGTCATGTCCGACTCTGGGAGCATTGTCCGTAAACGCCACCAAGGTCATGTGATTGGCATGACTGCATGGAGCGCCTTTACCTTCCCACTCCATGGTACCTAGCGGAAAGGTAAAGGCGCTCCGTGGTAACTATTGATCTACTCACCTTTGCCTGTTTTTGAACTGCTATGTTGGCAGAAGCTGGGGCTAACAGTGGGAGCTCCCCAAATTCAAACCACCAACCTTTCAGTCAGCAAGTTCAGCAGCTCAGTGGTTTAACCCGCTGCATCACCAGGGGTTCCACAGTCTTACTTTTATTATATATCTTGCAACTTTATATAACATATGTAATATGTCATGAATGTAATTCATATTTGTGAGCAGGACTAAAGTGCATGATAACAAAAGGCATTGGCTTCAACCACAAAAGGAGTCACAGGATCAGGACGCTGGAGAATTGGTGGGGAGGTAAATTGTTGCTTCAGATTCCAGATTCCTGTTTATGACTTCAAGTTCTTGGAGGTTTTGCCTTTCTTGTGTGTCTGTTTTCATGTTTATGGATATAACTTTTGAACAATAAGTATTATTTTGCTTTGTATTTTGCTTTGTATTACCTAAGTATTATTTTGCTTTGTGTTAACTCAAGTCACTGTGGATTGCTTTTTGATGCATTGGTTCAAAAGCTGATGAACTCTTGATCTCATTGGAAAATACTTCATGTACTTTTGTTCTTCTTTTTCATTTGCTTTTTTTCCCTTTTGTACTTATTCATTAATAAACTTTTACTTATTGGATTATCTGAACATTGTGTGGTGTTGGGCAAAAAGGTGTCCCAGGGCTACAGTGCAATGTTCGGGGAGGGGGGGGCACAAGGCTCCTTCAATACCCATGCCGCACAACATGCTCGCTGGGAAAGCGAGTTCCCATTTGGGAAGGGTTGGAGAAGGCTGCAGGGGAAGAAAGGGAAGAAATAGGGTGAGCTGCAGCTTCCCTAATTTGTGAGGCTGTCCAGCCCAAATGCCACCTCCACCTCAGGTAGAGTGTTGCTCAGCCCCATTAGCCCCCATTAGTTCCTGTCATGCCCTATGAAGACCTTAATTGTTTACCCCTAGTTAAGCCCTTTTTAGTTAGAGGGATTAATATTTTTTGTACAGTTTATGAGGGGTCAGCCTAGAAAGCCTCTTTGCATTTGAATCCTCCATCATCCTGCCCCTTTAAGAATCCCCTCAAGGGTAGAGCCTCAGACAAAGCACTTCTGGTTCTTGGAAGAGTCAGCCTTTTTGTTGAAGAGAGAGGAGGGCCAGAAGGTCCACAAAATAGCACATCTAGTTGGAGCTGTATGGTAAAGGTAAAGGTAGTCCCCTGACATTAAGTCCAGTCATGTCTGACTCTGGGGTGTGGTGCTCATCTCCATTTCTAAGCCGAAGAGCCAACGTTGTCCATAGACACCTCCAAGGTCATGTGGCCGGCATGACTGCATGGAGCGCCGTTACCTTCCCACTGGAGCAGTACCTATTGATCTACTCACATTTGCATGTTTTCGAACTGCTAGGTTGGCAGAAGCTAGGGCTGACAGCAGAAGCTCACGCCGCTCCCCAGAATCGAACCTGCGACCTTTCGATCAACAAGCTCAGCAGCTCAGTGCTTTAACCCACTGCACCACCGGGAGCTGTATGAGTTGCACTCAAATCCAGTCGGATCTGTATTCAAGTTCAGTGAAAGTTAAATGTCGAGACCATCTTAGAGACAGCTGAACACCATACAAGAGAGAGACAAGAAGAAGAAATAAAGATTCAAGAGCCTCAGTTTAGCCAGAACTGTGTCTTATCTCTCAAAGACTTTACCTCTTCTCATAAAGACTTTGTAGTGAGACTCAGGAGGAAAGTCTAAAATTCTTGTCAGTTTAAATTCAACCATACAGTTTCTGATCTGTTCCCTGGGCAGGCAGTTCACTTTCCAAGTAGTTAAGATAGTGTGGGTGCAGAACAGTCCCCTTTAGCCAAAAAAAATCTGTCTGGCTGCTGTGATCCATATTGGCTAAGGCTTCGGCTGCCCCATCTAGGATCGTTTTAATAGATTCGGCGGCTGAATCCCTTGAATCCTCTGAATCCATTACACCAAATCACACCCCTAGTACAAACTCTCTCTGCTATCTTCATCCTATGAATAATCCTGAGACATTGATTATGTTGGCACTTAAGTAGTTGTTTGTATAGCCTTAACTCACAGCCTGTTAGGAACTTTTGAATTATCTAACATGCCCTCCTTCATTACTTTAATATACCTATTTTTCTCTCAGCAATTCCATTCTCTCCTGGAGAGCAAGGGAGCATGTTAGTACATGGCACACAGCTGGGAACTTTACTGCACCATCACCAACCCCTTTACTGGGCTTTCTTTGCTCAGCAGAGCACTCTTGAACCTATTCAAGGTGTCTTTCTTGCTCCAATAATCTAGCAGAGACATAGTCCAAAGTTAAATGAGCTTCTGGTACAGTCTGGATTGTGCACACAAAATTATCCCAGCTCTCATCCAGATAAGAAAGTAAAATATATGGCTTATGAGATTCTGTGAAGGTTATCTGTCTGTCCTCCAGATCTATAAACAAAGTCCTTAGTTTCTGCAAGTGTTCTCACCACTTTTTATTAGGATTAGGAATTATTTCTGGTTGTACAACTTCACCTGGTTACTTGCTTTTTAAAAAAGAATTGTCAAACTAAGGGATCTAAAGCTTATCTGTTTTAGGTGGTATTGCCTCATAAAGCTGGGCTACATCCATTTTTTCCCCAATTGGTATCTGGTGACTTCCAAGTAAATGAGTAAATCTTCTCTGATTTTCATCTCAAACTTGAAAAGGGCTGTCCATGGTACGGAACTCTCTTTCCAAAACATGTTCAGCACATGCAACAAATCCTTTAAAGTTCTGGTTAAAATATCTCACTGGCATTTATTTGACAGTTTGTTGAATGTATATCCTGCCTTTCTCTCAAAGTGAGATCCAATGTGGACCGGCACCTTTCTCCATAATAGCTTTGCCCGCACATGTTCAAAAGTCGCTGTTTGCTTCATCCTAGCCACATTAGATCTCTTGAGCAGTTTTCCTCATTTGTTTCAGACAGGAAACCTTTGCACAATCATAACTCACATGTTTTCATGCAATATTACGAGAAACCCAAATGGTGCAAGAGGTGTAAGATCGTATCTTTCTGTTCTGCGATCCTCTCTTTTGCTCTTTAAAAACAAGTCATTACACGGGAGAAGCATTTGGTTCCAGGCCATGGAAACTACTCCTCTGAGATGGAAAGCCATTACAGGCTTTCTGGTGATGAATCTTCATATCTCAGGTACTGATTGTAAATATATTACTACTGTCAGAATAGCAAGTTCAACTGATTAAAACAACCCAAAAGAGGGCCACCAGGTGCGTTTGTGCGTTTTTGTTGTTGTGCTTAGATGAATCCTATGCTATGCTGAAATAAATACATTATTATTATTATTATTATTATTATTATTATTATTATTATTATTAGGGGAAGCAGTTGCACAGGGATTGGGTGAAAAATAGCAGGGTGCCTCTGTTTTCTTGGCTGCTTTTTTAGCAAAAGGAAGCAAGTGCGTGAAATATTATGTCCAGGAGTGACAATGGTCATAGTGGGGTTTATATATATACTAGCTGTACCTGCCACACACTGCTGTGGCCAACCTTTCCTCCCTCTTTCTCTCCTCCATTCTTTCTCTCCTTCTTTCCTTCCTTCCTTTCTTTTCTTTCTTCTTCCTTCCTTCCTTCTCTTCCTCTTCCCTTCCTCCCTCCCTTTTCTTTCCCTCCTCTTTCTCCTCTTTTTTCCTTCTCTACCTATTCTTGGACTGCAACTCCCAGCAGTCCTCCTGATCAATCTATCTACCTACCTATCTATCTCTATCTAATCTATCTATCTTATCTATCTGGAGGATTGCTGGGAGTTGCAGTCCAGGAATAGGAAATTGGAAATATGCATGGATTGGGATGCTCTCAAAGAAATCCAAGGAGAAGAAAGCTTGCAGCTTGGAAGCAGTGCATTTGGATCATCCTCCTCTCCTAAAGGGCCTGGTCTAGGGGATGCTGGGAGCTGTAGTCTGGAAGAGAGTGTGGATATGCTGTTGTGTGTATTGTCAAAGGCTTTCATGGCCGGAATCACCAGGTTGTAGGTTTTTTTTGGGCTATATGGCCATTTTCTAGAAGCATTCTCTCCTGACATTTCACCTGCATCTATGGCAAGCATCCTCAGAGGTAGTGAGGTATGTTGGAACTAGGAAAATGAGTTTATATATCTGTGGAATGACCATGGTGGGACAAAGAACTCTTGTGTGTTGGAGCTAGATGTGAATGTTTCAACTGACCACCTTGATTAGCATTTGATGGCCTGGCAGCTGTTTGGTGTGGCTTGTTAGTGCCTGGGGCAATCTTTTGTTGAGAGGTGATTAGATGTCCCTGATTGTTTCCCCTCTGTTGTTTTGCTGTTGTAATTTTAGAGTTTTTAAAACTGGTAGCCAGATTTTGTTCATTTTCATGGTTTCCTCCTTTCTGTTGAAATTGTCCACATGCTTGTGGATTTCAATGGCTTCTCTGTGTAGTCTGACATGGTGGTTGTGAGAGTGGTCCAGCATTTCTGTGTTCTCAAATAATATGCTGTGTCCAGGTTGGGTCATCAGGTGCTCTGCTATGGCTGACTTCTCTGGTTGAAGTAGTCTGCAGAGCCTTTCATGTTCCTTGATTCGTGTTTGGGCAATGCTGCGTTTGGTGGTCCCTATGTAGACTTGTCTACAGCTGCATGGGATACAGTAGACTCCTGCAGAAGTGAGAGGATCAAGACAAGAGTTCTTTGTCCCACCCTGGTTTTTCCACAGATATATAAACCCATTTTCCTAGTTTCAACAGACCTCACTACCTCTGAGGATGCTTGCCATAGATGCAGGCGAAAGTCAGGAGAGAATGCCTCTAGAACATAGCAAAAAAAAAAACAACAACCCGGTGATTCCAGCCATGAAAGCCTTCAACAATACACACAATAGCATATCCACACTCTCTTCCAGACTTCAGCTCCCACATCCCCTAGACCAGGCCCTTGCAGTTTCTCAAGTCACTCCTGACACACACAAAAAAAGAAAAGAAAGACATCAAACCTGGAGGGACAACTTAAAAGCATCTCTGAAATAATTTTTGTGATTCCCATGTTTGTGTTTCACTTCAGTTACTTCAGCCATTATGTGCCATTCTATCACTAACTATACGCAGACTGGTGTCCCTGGTTATATAAGTTCCTACCTCCCTGATGAACCTGCCATCACCTGTCTCCCTATTCACAACGCTTGTGTCACTATACGATTGGAACTGAGTACAGGTAAGTTCAACCTAAATATAAACAGACTGAATGAGTTTATCATGTTTTGGACCCAATAGGGGTGCTAAGGTTCTAAAAGTCAGGTTGATGTTTGCAAGGAAATATGAGGTGAGGAAATTTAAAGCACTATATAGCACTTTCAACAGGAGGGTTGTACTCGTATATGATTTGCAGCCATTCAGATTCCCAGTAGGATTACCTGAGGAAGACTACAAGCAATCCCAAGACTCAATTGGCCCCCTGAGACAATTCCTGCCCTTCTCCCTCTGGACAATAACTCTCCATTTATCTATGGGTCATGTCAAAATCCATAATTTTGGGCAACAAACCTGTCCCCAACTTTAACATGAGATCAGTTAATGCAAGAGTATGTCAAGTCACATAAAAGGTTTAACAGTCCTGTTACATTTACTTTGATGCCTGTGCCCCTGTTCAGAAGATTTGACCTCACTTTCTGTCCCTGTGACAATTGGATTTTGAAAAATTTGAGTTGTTGTCGAAACAAGGATTGGTGATAAAGTTTAAGTAGAGGCATGCTTTCCCCATGATAACTCTTCTAGGAGTGAATTTTCCTTTCAAGGGGTAGATTTCTCCCACTTCCTGTTGTCTCACCCCATTCTTATTGGAGCCCCCGGTGGCGCAGTGAGTTAAACCCCTGTGCCGGCAGGACTGAAGACCGACAGGTTGCAGGTTCGAATCCGGGAAGAGGCAGATGAGCTCCCTCTGCCAGCTCTAGCTCCTCATGCGGGGGACATGAGAGAAGCCTCCCACAAGGATGATAAAACATCAAATCATCCGGGTCCCCTGGGCAACGTCCTTGCAGACGGCCAATTATCTCACACCAGAAGTGACTTGCAGATTCTCAAGTCTTATGACATTCCGCAAGAGACTAAAGACGTGGTTGTTTGAGAAGGCGTTTGACTAAGTGCTATGACAATTGGCAATGATGATTGGAACGGAATATGGAAAACGAGATTGGATTGTGATTCTATGATGAGACGTTGCGAAGGACTTAGTGTAATAGTATTATTGATAGTGATGTTGTTATTGTTGTTTATGAGATTGTTTACATTGTAAATTGTTTTTTTATATGTTGTACACCGCCGTGAGTCGCCCTAGGGCTGAGAACGGCGGTCTACAAGTGCAGTAATAAATAAATAAATAAATAAATAAGTCTCTCCTGACACGACAAAAAAAAACCTATTCTTAACTATGAGTCACTTGTAATTCGAATGTTTGTAACTTGGGGACTTCCTTTATTTATGACTATTTAACTAAGACATGTCTTCTATCATGACCATCCACCTTAAAAGCCACAAGCTACTCTGCATATTGGAGATCTGTATTTCTAGCCCTCTACCACCAGCAAATCTCTGATGTGACGGTGAATTATTGTTTTTATTATTTATTTGTTATTTAAAACTTTTGTTTCCCGATCTTCTTTACCTCCATAGAGGGACTCAGACCGGATTTTTACAAAGACTATTCTGATTTAGGCAGTAAGGCAGTAAGAAGCCAGAACTTGAAACTGCTAGGCCATTAAATACTAATCAAGGTGACCAATTGAAACATTCACACCTCAAACAGACAAAGTTTTTTCTCCCACCCTGGACATCCCACAGATATATAAACCCCATTTTCCTAGTTTCCAACAGACCTCACAGCCACTGAGGATGCCTGCCATAAATGCAGGTGAAACGTCAGGAGAGAATGCTTCCGGAACATGGCCATACAGCCCGGAAAAATCACAAAACCCCAATAATAATAATAATCTTTATTTATATCCCACCCCATCTCTCTGGAGGGCGCACATGCACTGCAGAATCAATTCAGTTTGACACCATTTTAACTTGACATAGCTCAAAGCTGTTGAATCCTGGGATTTGCAGTTTGGTGGGGCATCGGGGTTCTTTGGCAGTTGTTCCATAGTATAAGCCATGGCTGTTAGTGATAATGCATTATTTCGGCAGTGTAGGTAAGTGCACCCTAAGAATACTAGAGTTACAGATGTGTGCATCTACTTTACCAACTCATTCCTGCTGATCTGAATCCTAACCAAAGTTTGTGATTAATGCTTTATTATTTTGATTTTTTTTAATCTTCATATAACTTTTTCTCCATTTTTTTTCTTATCATCAGTGCGGAAATGATCCCACTATTTGGATTTTTACAAAGATTATTCTGATTTTGAAGCGACTGTGAAGAAAAACATGTATTGTCGAAGGCTTTCATGGCCAGAATCACTGGGTTGTTGTAGGTTTTTCGAGCTGTATGGCCATGTTCTAGAAGCATTCTCTCCTGATGCTTCGCCTGCATCTGTGGCAAGCATCTGCAGGTGAAACGTCAGGAGAGAATGCTTCTAGAACATGGCCATACAGCCCGAAAAACCTACAACTCAAGAAAAACATGTTTTGCAGGCGTGATTCCACCTTCCCTGGCCGAAGCCCTATGTTCAGAATGGTGCCAGATAGAAATGAAATCAAAATAAATTGCTGCTCCCAACTAAATTAGAGGAAATGACTGGAATTAATTTTAATAAGAATAATTTTAAATCCAGGCGTATGCATTTTTATTTTTATTTTTTTGAAATAGTGAGGATTTTAATCTGAATCTTATAGGTCAGGGCTGGGGAAAAAGGCGCCGAATGAGGACATTTCCATATTTTGAAGCCTAAGACATAGTTTTTTATAATTTTTATTATTCCTTGTTTTTATGGTTTTGAATGTATTATGACTCTTTTTTATTTTTTGCTTTTTACTGATGTATGTATTTTTATATATGGTATCTAATTGTTGCCGACTTGTACGCTACCCTGAGTCGCCTTTGGGCTGATATGGGTGGGATACAAATGTTGTAAATAAATAAATAAGTAAATAAGTAAAGATTTCCCCTTGACATTAAGTCTAGTGATGTCCAACTCTGGGGGTAGTGCTCATTTGCATTTCTAAGCCGAAGAGCCGGCTTTGTTCGTAGACACCTCCTAGGTCATGTGGCCAGTATAACTGCATGGAGGACAGTTACCTTCCCACAGAATCAGTACCCATTGATGTACTCACATTTGCGTGTTTTCGAACTGCTAGGTTGGCAGAAGCTGGACCTAACAGCGGGAGCTCACCTCACTTCCTGAATTTGAACTGCTGAGCTTTTGGTCAGCAGGTTCAGCAGATCAGCAGTTTAACCTGCTGCGCAACCAGTGGGCCCAATGATTTGAAGCCTATCCTAGCCCATATTAGGCACAAAACCAGAAGTGGTAACCATAACTCAGGTCATTGCTAATTGATTCTATTCGTTATTAGGGATGATGTGGTTTGTGATTGTGCATCTAGCCTTCAAAATTTCTAGAATACAGAAAGTTTAGGAATACCGCAACTTCATTTAAAAAATCAACCCAACCCAATTTGCCAAAGTAAAATCTCGGCATCTCGTTGACACATCCTGTTTATATCTTCCTACCTCAGTCAGCAATACTCTGTTTATTGATCATCGAGGTTGCGCAACCACCAAATATCCAAATGGAGGAAAAGAATCATCCAAGACCGGTGACAAATACTTTGCAATCAAATACAAGGCAAATTACTGCTCCAGTGACCTGTGCAATGGAGAAATACCTTCTGCAGATGCTCACAACAAGACTGCACTAGTCAAAGGTAAAAATGTGGCAAGAGCTTCCATACTGATGAGAGCTGCATAGCAAGAAAATATTCAGTAGTTGCTTCCCTCCATGACATATCAATTTCTCATGGGACAGAATCACATTGTTCTCCTACCCCAATCTGCTGCTTTTCCTTTTTCACTCTGTTCTCCACTCATTCAGTCATTCTTCCTTTCACTAGAAAGATGCAGATATACCCTCCATGGCTCCTATTAGAGTAAATAGAGAGTCCCAGGGCCTGCAGAAGAAAGCAGGGCATGAAGCTGCCCAGAGGCTTTGTAGGAAAATGAATCCCTCAGACCATCTTCCAGTCTCCTTTGCTGGGGTTGGTTTGACGCCTAGCTGTGAAAGATAATACTGCAAGCTACAGTCAGATTTTAAGAAACTAAAACTAAACTTGAGAAACTGCAAGTCACTTCTGGTGTGAGAGAATTGGCCATCTGCAAGGACATTGTGCAGGGGATGCCCGGAGGTTTGATATTTTACCATCCTTGTGGGAGGCTTCTCTCAAGTCCCCGCTTGGGGAGCTGGAGCTGACAGAGGGAGCTCAATCCGCTCTCCCCAGATTTCAACTGCTGGTCTGTAGGTCAGCAATCCTTCCAGCACAAAGGTTTAAGCCAGTGGTTCCCAACCTTATTTTGACCAGGGACCATTTTGACTAGGAACCACTTTGTCCAGGGACCACTTTGACCAGGGACCACTTGACCAGGGACCACTTTGACCAGGGACCACTTTGACCAGGGACCATGTTGACCAGGGGCCACTTTGACCAGGGGCCACTTGGCCAGGGACCACTTGGCCAGGGACCACTTTGACTAGGAACCACTTTGTCCAGGGACCATTTTGACCAGGGACCATTTCTACCAGGGACCACTTTGACCAGGGGCCATTTGACCAGGGACCACTTTGACCAGGGACCACTCTCCAACATTAGTACCAAAAGGGTTACGTACCAGTGTTTGGTCAACTTTAGATTCAGTTTGGTTGTTTCAGCTGCTAATTCAGAAAATTGCATTGGATAGACCACATCAGCTCTTGTTTCTGATACAGAACATATGCCATCCAGTAGTTGCCATCTGCTTTCCCACAGAAAACTATATTTAATAATCTAGAGCTGATGCCATCTATCCAAGGCAATTTTCTGAATCAGCACCCCAAATAATCCCAGGAACAGGCCTAAAAACAAAGACACCAAGGCGCTCCCGCTTCCAGGTGCTCCCGCTTCCGCTTGTGGAGAAGGAGGAGGAGAAGCAGCAGTGATGAGGTTTGTTGTTGCGCCTTTTGTGGGTTGTCAGACTCTCCTCTCCCAACATCCTTGTTACCTTGGCACTATAAGAGGGTTTCGTGAGACCAGTTGCTCTCATTGCAACGGTGTAGTAATGGTGAGGCCACAAACCATATTTTAGTTCTTGGGGACCACTGGTGGTCCACAGATCACAGATTGCGAATCACTGGTTTAACTCATTGCCCACTGGGCCTCTATTAATACAATAGATGAAATACATAGACATAAGATTAAAATACACACTCAGATCATTGAAACTAATACAATGTCAATGTAAAATGTAAAGTTTCAATTGTTTGGATAGGCCAGCCAGAAGTGATAGATCCTCAATTCTGTTTTAATTTCTGACAACTCCTTTAACTGTTGAATCTCTTCCAGCAGGTCATTCCACACTCCAGGGGTGGCTGATGAAAGTTTTCTACAATTGAATATCTGTTTATTATCTTTACAAAACATGGTACTTTTGAAACAACATTTGAGCTTTGGCACTACTCCATTCTGGCTATTCACAGCTGGAAATTGGACATATGGGTGATACGTTTGGAGATACTGATACTGAGCTGACATACAGACCTTACAACTGAGTTGAATTTTAATTGTTAATTTATTGGGGGGGGGGGGTCCTATAATTCCCTTCCATTTTCCATCACTATATTCAATCTATTTATTCCAAATGAAATTTTCTAATGAAAGTTCTAATGAAAATTTAAAGATAATATTTACAACATATAAGCAAATGAGTAAGCAATCCCATAGGTTAAATAGTTCTGCTCTAGTAGGGAATATTATTTATTTATTCACCATATTTGTATACCACCTTTCTCAGCTCGGAGGCGACTCAAGGTGGTTCACAGTCAGCAACAATTTGATGCCACAGCAATTAAAGACAATTAAAACAGTCATAAATACTATTAAAAACATTTATCATATAGTATAAAAAAAACAGTACAAGGCCGAAAAAACTGTCATAAACATCTCCTTACCAAAGTAATTATCCAGTAGCATCATCAGGTCGTTCCATGATTTCATATTTAGCAGATTATGCTGCACTAGCGAAAGCTTGTTCAAAGAGCTAGGTTTTAACCTTTCTGTGGAAGGTCAGAAAGGAAGAGGCCGCTCTTATATCCTTAGGCAGGGCGTTCCACAGCCAAGGGGCCACCGCTGAGAAGGCCCTGTCTAGTTCCCACCAAACACATCTGCGAAGAAAGCGGGACTGAGAGCAGGGCCTCCCCAGAAGATCTTAGAGTCCTAGATGGTTCATAAGGCTCCTACACAGTTTAACAGGCTCCTCCCTTTCTTTATAATATAGAAAACTGTAAACCAAGCAGCTCAAAGAAATGCTATGCTGGCATCAACTTTCATGACTCCGAAACATTGCTGGAAGCAGTGACATGCCGCAGCGACTCTGACTTCTGTTACCAAGGATCTGGGTATATCACAATCGGTGCGTAAAGTTATCAAATCTGGAGCCTCAAAAACATATCTTCATTTCTTGAACCCTAAGTTGTAAATCTTCACTTACCCTGTTCTTGCTTTAGAATAAATTGGGGGGGGGGGGGGGGGGAGGGATAAATAAAAACAAAAATATGTAGTTATTTGACTGCATAATTGGATTATTATTATTATTATTATTATTATTATTATTATTTAAAAAGGTCCATAAGCTGCTTTGAAGACATTTATTTAAGAATAGGATACAAGAAAACTTCTAAATAATAGTGATTGTTTTTGACTTTTGCTAACCAACCAATCCATTTGGCAGATACTTTTTGAATCCTAGAAATTTCGAGAGAAAGCACTGGGGAAACCTGGCATGGATATCCTGCCGTGAGGATTTACAAGTTGGTGATATATAAATAGCTCAATTTTTTAAAAACCTGCATGGCCAGGACCACTTATATTTGAGCGTTGGGGCCCATCCAGACAGATCCTAAAACCCGTGTCCTCCCATTTCTTACGTGGGATGTCTAAACAACACATGAAAGTGAATGGTTTTGAGACAAAGCAGGAAAACCCTACTTTGTCCCAAAGAATTGTGACACCAGGAAAGACCCAGATTTTTCCAAAGACCAGTGTCTTTCCAGGTATGGGGACTGTGTAGACGGACCGGGGATTGAGCTACGTGACTTCCAGGCCCATCTACATAGCTGTCTCGGGCTTCTTCAGCTCCTGGAGCCCAAGAAACCCAAGACAGCCACATCAGACCCCTCAACCTCTGCGGATGCCTTCCATATATGTAGGCGAAACATCAGGAGAGAATGCTTCTGGAACATGGCCATACTGCCCAGACAACTCACAGCATCCTATGAGGATTGTTTGCATTTCTCCTTCTACCTCCATTTTCTTTCTAACCAACAGGAAATGGAGCTCTAGATTTACACATCCGAAGCTGCCAAAGCACCTGCCATATTCCTCAGAAACAGGTTTTTGGACCAATAGAGATCTCTATGCAAGGGGTCTGCTGCTCTGGAAACCACTGCAACAGGAAAGAAAATGCTCATCCAACCCCAACTTCTCAAGCATGGGAAACTACCAGCAATTTCACCAACCCTGGTTATGGACATGGTCTCTTCCAGGACTTTGAGTGTGAAGATTACATTGTTGATAATGGCACAGAGTGGTCCGTCATTGATCCTGGAGCTAAGGGCAAAGGGGCTGCACTTCAGATCAGTGCTTTACTGGTCACTCTTATGATTACCATCCTTGGACTATCTGGGTGAGATGCATTGATTCCCAAGCTCTGTGATCTGATTTGGGAAGAGGTATATCGTAGAAGGGAAGGAAAACATGGCACCACCTGGGAATGCATCTGGAGATGGATCAACCTCTGGGCTTCTCTGGTCTCCTAACTATCAACCAATTGTGGACATAGGTTGGATCTATACTGCCATATAATCCTAAAAAAAGAGGATTATCCATACTATCCAAATTATCTGGATGAATATTCATATCAGATAATCCAGATTATCTGCTTTGAACTGAATTACATGAGTCTACCATGCAAAATAATCCAGTTCAAAGCAGATCATCTGAATTTTATATTGCAGTGTTATTGGGGCCTAAAATAGCACTGAGTTGTTTGAGAGAGACATTTCTCTGTATGTGTTCTGGTTTTCATCTGTGAAACGTTGGGGGGTATGCTATGGAATCTTGGGATTTGCAGTATAGGAAGGGCATTTAGAGTGATCAGCCAGCATCAGATTTCATAGGATGCAGGCATGCCAGGCAACATCCCAAAAAATTTGAGATTAGAGGTACCTATGTTGTTGCTTTTGATGCTTGCTTTTATTGTTTATGATGATGTTGTTTTTATGCTGTTTTATATTTTCCTGTTCTGTTTTTAACTGTATGTTTCTGGGCATGGCCCAATGTAAGCTGCCCTGAGTCCCTTCAGGGAGATGAAGGTGGGGTAGAAAAATGAAGTAGTTATTATTATTATTATTATTATTATTATTATTATTATTATTATTGGACTCACAGTGCTACACCATTGTGCTAAACGAGCTAAAATGAAATATGATAGGAAAAAATCAGGACAGGATGTAGATGTGCCACTAGAGGGCCAAAGCAACATCGCATAACCCCTGTTTCCTCAATAGGCAAAAAACTATGTCCTGATTTTTAGGGAACTCAATGTCCCTGTTGCTGTTTTTTGTTGTGGTGAGTATATTCCTTCATTCTAGTGTGTGTGTGCATTTATCTAGACCAGTGGTTCTCAACCTTCCTAATGCTGTGACGCCTTAATACAGTTTCTCATGTTGTGGAGACCCTCAACCATATCATTATTTTCGTTGCAACTTCATAACTGTAATTGTGTTACTGTTATGAATCCTAATGTAAATGTCTGATATGCAGGATGTATTCACTGGGCCAGATTTGGCACAAATACCAAATATGCCCAAATTTTGAATACTGGTGGGTTGGGGTGGGGGGATTGATTTTGTCCCTTGGGAGTTTTAGTTGCTGGGTTTTATACTTAACCTACCATCAAAGAACATTCTGAACTCTACCAACAATGGAATTGAACCAACAATGGAATTGAACCAAACACCCATGACCTACAGAAAATACTGGAAGTATCTGGTGGACATTGACCTTGGGTTTTAAAGTTGTAGTTCACCTAGAGAGCACTGTGGACCCAAACAATGATGGATCTGGACCAAACTTGGCATGAATACTCTATATGCCCAAATTTGAACACTGGTGAAGTTTGGGGAAAACATAACTTGACATTTGGGAGTTGTAGTTGCTGGGATTTATAGTTCACTGCCAATCAAAGAGCATTCTAAACCCCACCAACAATAGAATTGGGACAAACTTCCCACACAGAACCTCCATGAACAACAGAAAATGCTTGTTTTCTGATGGCCTCTGGTGACTCCTCTGACACCCCCTTGCAACCCCRCCCCCCCCCCCGGGGTCATGACTTCCAGGTTGAGAAACACTGATCTAGACTCTTCAAACACTGAAGCATGTTTGAAGAGTCTACTTCTTCTCTTCTTCTCTATCCAGAAGGGGTGGAAATGGAGGTTGACCACAGGGGACCATTGGCCAGCTCTTATATGGCTCTCTGATAGCCTTTTCTGTGAGTGATTAGTTTTAGGACAGATCTCTGTCAGAGCCATCTATGCTTTCGTCTTATTGGAGACAGAAGAGAGAGACAGAGAGCCATTCACAAATCACAAATATCCTTACATTATCAGCAGTTTAACTCAGGAAAAAAAGTTAATGTCTGCTAATAGTTGGCAAGCACACTGCAATTAAAATGCAAAGTCTGTTAAAAACGTGGCAAGACCACCAGTAGGACAAAACTTTGGTTGGCTATCCAGAAGTTCTTAAAAGATACAAGGGTTTTGTGAGACACAGAAATCTGCGCTCACTCAGGGCTATGGAAGACAAATCCTCAGTTGGGCTAGTCCTTCTTGCTCAGCATTTGTCTTCAGAATTTTCTTCTCTGAAATTAAAATGATGAGGCCATGCTATTGCTTTTAATTAGAGTGAAACAGGACCAGCTGGTTCAGATCTCAGCCTTTGCATGATGTTTCACAATGTCCCTTTCAGGATGCATGGAAGTTGACTTTCCTGACCAAGATCCTGTTGGTGTGCAGTCATCTCCATCAGGATGCATCCACTAAGTTTCTACATTACAATGTCCCTGCAACTCCCTGTAGTGATGTCTGAGCTGACCCCAAGGCAGATCAGTGGCCGTGTGCAGGGATACCAATAGACAGAGAGGTTTTTGATCAGTGGTTCCCAACCTTTTTTTGACCAGGGACCATTTGACCAGAGACCCATTTGACCAGGGACCACTTTGATTAGGGACCACTTGACCAGGGACCACTTGACCAGGGACCATTTTGACCAGGGACCACTTGACCAGGGACTGTTTTGACCAGGGACCACTTTGACCAGGGACCACTTTGTCCAGGGACCACTTGACCAGGAACCACTTGACCAGGTACCACTTTTTTCACTTTATTTATTTACTGTATTTGTATAACATCTTTGTCAGCCCCTAGGCAACTCAAGGCGGTTAACAGGGTAAAATTCAATTCTTACAATATCATAAATACAATTAAAAACATAACATATAATAAAAACTAAACAAATCAATAAAATATAAATTCATAGTGTCACCTTGTTAAAAACATTGTCCGAAATCATTGTTTAATCATTCCATTTTCTGTGTCAGTTACTCTGCATTTGCAAACGCTTGTTCAAAAAGCCACATCTTGATTTTTTTCCAGAATGTTAAAAGGGAGGTGGCCAATCTGATATCTATAGGGAGGGCGTTCCACAGCCGAGGGGCCACCACCGAGAAGACCCTGTCTCTCATCTCCACCAAACGAACTTGTGACAAAGGACCATTGGACCATTTGAAGCTTCTGGACAGCCCCGCGTAGAGCACATTGCAGTAATCTATACGGGATGTAACCAGAGCGTGGAGTACCATGGCCAAATCATACTTCTCAAGGTACAGGCACAGCTTGCACACAAGTTTTAACTGTGCAAATGCTCCCCTAGACACTGCTGAAACCTGGGGTTCCAGGCTCACCAATGAGTCCAGGATCACACCCAAGCTGCGAACCTGCATCTTCAAGGGGAGTGTAACCCCATCCTATACAGGCTGTAACCCTATGTCCTGTACACCTTACGACTGACCAGGAGTACCTCTGTCTTGTCTGGATTCAGTTTCAATTTGTTTGCCCTCATCCAGGTCATCGCAGCGGCCAAGCACTGGTGCAGGACCTGAACAGCCTCCTTAGTAGCAGGTGGGAAGGAGTGATAGAGTTGGACATCATCAGGGTACAGGTGACATCGCACCCCAAAACTCCGGATGTTCTCCCCCAGCAGCTTTATGTAGATGTTAAACAACATGGGAGACAATACTGAACCCTGAGGAACCCCACAAGACAATGGTTGTAGGGTTGAACAGGAGTCCCCCGGTAATACCTTCTGGGTGGACCTTCCAGAAACGACAGGAGCCATTGTAAAACAGTGCCTCCCAGGCCCATTCTGGCAAGACGTCACAGAAGGATATCATGGTCAACGGTATCGAAGGCCACTGAGAGGTCCAGCAGAATCAACAGGGACACACTCCCCCTGTCTAGTTCCCTGCATAGATCATCAACTAAGGTGACCAAGGCTGTCTCGGTTCCATACCCAGATGTAAAGCCACTGTGCTGGATCCAGATAATCCGTGTCCTCCAAGAATACTTGGAGTTGTGAGGCCACCATACTTTAAAGCATAGGTTCTTTTTATTGCAATTTCCAGTGTGAGAAAGTATGAGGATTCTTACAGAATGTTTACACAAAGAATGACATTAGATGTACAGATATTCGGATTCTATGTAACTACATTGAATTAACAAAAAACTTACTGACTGACTGACTGACTTACTTAGGCAATCCCTCGTCGTCTGAGTGAGATTGTCCTGGCGGTGGGTCCGTAGGTGACTGTGGAGCCCTATTCTTTATCCGCTTGTTTTCCTGCAGTGAGGGCATCGGTTTCCAGGTGGAGGGCGGTTTCAGGGTTGGCTTGACGCGCCTTCCTCTTGGCACGTTTGGTTCTGATACTGGGGAAAAGTTAAAAGTCATGCCTCATATTTACTAGCCTTGTATCTAAATTCAAACCCCACTATCCTAACTAAACAGAACAAACTAAAGTCTTCCGATGTTAATCTGTCACAGTTCCCATCTGCTCTAGTCATTATGTCTAATGGTGAGGAATACAGAAGTTGTAGTCCAGCATCTGGAGAACCACATAAAGTGGCATGGATGTGTGGCCCTTGTATTTGACACATGTGCACTAGGCCAGTGTTTCTCAACCTGGGGGTCAGGACCCCAAGGGGGGTCACAAGGGGTCAGAGGGGTTGCCAAAGACCATCAGGAAACACAGTATTTTCTATTGATCATGGGGGTTCTGTGTGGGAAGTTTAACCCAATCATATCATTGGTGGGGTTCAGAATGCTCTTTGATTGTAGGTGAGCTATAAATCCCAGCAACTACAACTCCCAAATGTCAAGCTCTATTTTCCCCAAACTCCACCAGTATTCACATTTGGGCATATTGAGTATTCATGCCAAGTTTGGTCCAGATCCATCACTGTTTGAGTCCACAGTGTTCTCTGGATGTAGGTGAACTACAACTCCCAAACTCAAGGCCAATGCCCAACAAACCCTTCCAGTATTTTCTGTTGGTCATGGGAGTTCTGTGTGTCAAGTCTGGTTCAATTCCATTGTTGGTGGAGTTCAGAATGCTCTTTGATTGTAGGTGAACTATAAATCCCAGCAACTATGACTCCCAATGACAAAATCAATCCCCCCCCCCCAACCCCACCAGTATTCAAATTTGGGCGTATCGGGTATTTGTGCCAAATTTGGTCCAGTGAATGAAAATACATCCTACATATCAGATATTTACATGACAATTCATAACAGTAGGAAAATTAGAATTACCAAGTAGCAACCAAAATAATGTTATGGTTGGGGGTCACCACAACATGAGGAACTGTATTAAGAAGTTGCAGCATTAGGAAAGTTGAGAAACATTGCACTAGGCCTTTATCTCTTGTATAACAGAATTTCACATTTGCACACTCCTGCTGCTTTCCATATATTTTTGCTTCCAGCTACACCCTCCCTCCCTACAACATCTTGACCAATCCTCCCACATAAAAGGCCTTCATCATCAGGAAAATACCAAACCCCTCCCAAAATCTAGCTGAGTTTATTACCCAATACTTAAACAACACCGCTGTTTCTTCTCCTGGTGACAGCTTCCATTCAAAGAGGTGACTCAACCTGTCCTGCTCTTTCTCACAGGCTTCTCTAGGACATAAGACAACTTGCTCAACCTCTTGAATTTCTTGGGTGAGTTTGGGACAGAGAAAAGTAGGATGAACATGAGCAGAGAAGGGATTATCTCCAGAGTTTGTTTTTTTTAAAACAGCAGTTGAGAAGGTGCTATTATTTTCTTGTCTTTGAATAATGCAAAGGCATATAGGAAGCACTTTGGAACATTGGTGCAAGGGGGATCTTGATGATAAGAAATGGGAAGAAATGGGAAATTCAAGACAGTGCTTCCATTTGCTGAATTTTAAGAGGGCTATCCAAGGTGCTGAACCAATTTAAGAGGGTTTACATATTCCCCTCCCTGCTGTAAAACCTACGATTTCCCACTAGAACAACTGGTGTCTTACATTTTATTTATTTATTTCGAGTATTTTTACCCCGCCCTTCTCAGCCCCCTCGGGAGGTATTCAGGGCAACTTCCAGCCAGCAACCATTCGATGGCTCTATATACACATAATAAAATACATAACAAAACCAGTAGTTATCAATAGTTAAAAACATTAAATCAGTACAATTAAGGCTACTAACCAATACCAGTCTGGTGACCATTATCTAGCTGAATTCTGTGATTGGAGATTCCATCCAACTTATCCCTAGTCCATTATCCATAGCCATTGTCATCATTGCCATTGTCTACATAATTTCCTGAAGGCCTGGTCCCACATCCATTTTTTAACTTCTTTCTAAAAGAGGGGAGGGATGAAGATAACCTAATTTCCCCAGGGAGTGAATTCCACAGGCAGGGGGCCACCACCAAGAAGGCCCTGTCCCTCATCCCCGCCAAGCGTGTTTGAGACAGAGGCGGGGCCGAGAGCAGGGCCTCCCCAGAAGATCTTAAGCTCCGAGGTGGGACATAGGAGGAGATACATTCGGACAGGTACGCTGGGCTGGAACCGTATAGGGTTCTGTATGTTGGCATCCTTTTAAGAACAAAACAAGGTACAATCCCAACAGTTCCAAAACCTTCATCTTCCAGGTATTTTGGATATCAGCTCCCAGAAGTCCCAACCAGCATTGCCAACATTCAAGGAATTATGGGAGCTTG